AGGGCTTATTCAACACATGACCCCCAGTGTGTAGCAGCCTGTCATGCTGAGAAGATGAAACTGCATGAAATTAGAAAACCTCAGAAGTAATTTAGATTCTATTGGATCCAAAGGCTGGTCTTAGAAGTTCCAATCCTCTCTCCTCAAAACATAAAATTATTACTTTCATTGTTTCTCTACCTTTATCTGCAGGATGGGTCGTAAGGAATTTCTCTCCCCCAACGTTGTCTAGTAATAGATTGCAAGGAGTTCATTACAGAAGGGTCCTCCCCTCTTCCCATAGAAAGAGCTGCTGCTGGGAATGGCCAAAAGAACTTGACAGCATGCCTCTGGAGCTTCTCCTTCAGTGTATTCATTTGCTCAGATGCTCGAATCCAATTTTAGTTACTCTTGTAATTTTGCTGTTAATTCTCTGTTGAACATGCATTTTAAAAATGTACTTTTCCAGCATCTTCAGGTTATCATTTCTGAAGTATCCTGTCCTATATGAATTTCAATAAATAAATACAAGTAGTTTCTACTGTTTGTCTAACAAGGAGCCCTAGGAGTATTGAGTAAAATTCCCTCCTTCATACCCCTTTGCTGATAGATGTTGGTCCTTGCTATTCTCTTGTTGAGCATAGACAATTTTACAGTCACTAATGTCAGTATCACATTGAAGTCATAATGAAGTGAGGCAAAGTAAAATCATTCTGTACAAATTTTTTATACATAGACACATACCAGGCTTTCTCTTTTTGGATCTCCAATAAGCTCCAAAATCATGACATGGAGAATTCCTGTTAGTTATGAATACCCAACCTAGCTTAGGCTTATTTCTGGCTAGTTCTTTGACAGGCCAGCTCTGCCTGTCTTTTCTCTGCCTAGCTTATTGGCCATTCAGCTCTTTATTAGATCATTCAGGTGCCTTAAGCAGGCAAGGTGAAACAGCAACACATCTTTTCATAGTTAGATAAGTATAGCATAAACAAATACAGCACTTCTTCATGTGGTTAAAGTAATATTCCACAATACAGACATAAACAAGGTCTCAGAATGACCCACAAAACGAATATAGTTTCTTCTGTGCACAGACAATAGATTATCACTTCCTTATTAATTCCTACTTGTGCTTCCTTCTAATTTGTTCTCCCTAGAGATAAGATTTATTGACATTGGTCTATTGTCTGACTTTCTTTTGGGACTGATAGCTCACAAATGATGACATGGAGACTTCTTATTAATTATGAAAGCTTGTCCTTTAGCTTAGGCTTGTCTCCAACTATCTCTTATAAGTTAAATTAACCTGGTTCTATTAATATATGTTCTGTCATGTGGCTTTTTTACCTGTCTCAATTCTGCATGTCCTACTTAGTCTGTGTCTTCCTGGCATTTCTACATGCCTGGATTCATCTCATCCTCTTTTCTCTGTCTGGAAATTATGCTTATCCTCTACTGTCTAGCTATTGGCCATTCAGCTCTTTATTAAAACAATCCGACGCACCTTGGCAAAGACACATCTTCACAGTGTACAATAAGATTATCCCACAACATTGGACCTAATGGCACAAACCTTTAATTCCAGGACTTGGGAGGCTAAGACAGGAAAATAATGAGCTTGAGGCTAGCTCAGGCTAAATAGATAGTTTCAATATAGTCTAGACTACTAAGCAAGATTCTATTTTAAAAATTGTAAGATATACCAAACAAAATATTTTGATATGTACTGCCATAGTTACATAGGCTCTATTTTTTACTAGTATCTAATCTGGAATGAAATCCTCCTTAAGTGACCCAACCAAAACTGGTTTCTGTCGCAGTTTTTCATTGTCTCCTCTTGAGCTAGCTGTTCATTGATTTCTTCCTCAGAATATGTGCCATTTGCTTAAAGGAGAGCTATTTTAAAATTAATTTTGTATCCAAGTACTTTGCTGAAAGTGTTTATAAGCTGTATGAGTTTCCTGATAGAATTTTTGGGGTATTTTATGTATACTATCCTATATTGTACAAATAACAATGCTTTGACTTCTTCCTTGCCAATTTTTATCCCCTTGTTTTCCTTTAGTTGTCTTATTGCTGAAGCTAAAATATGAAGTACTGTATCAAATAGATATGGAGAGAGTAGATAACCTTGTCTGTTCTTGATTGTAGTGAAATTTCTGTGAGTTTCTTTCCATTTAATTTGATGTTGACAGAAAAGAAATTTTTAATAATATAAAAAATAAAAGAAAATAAATCCAAAAGAGTAATTTGATGTTGGCTGTCAGCTCACTGTAAATTGCCTTTATTATGATGAGTTATTACCCTTCTATCCCTGAACTGTCCAGTACTTTTCTCATGAAGTGGTGATGGATTTTGTCAAAGGTCTTTTCTGTATCTAAGGAGATGATCATGTTGTTTTTGTCTTTCAGCTTTTTATGGTGGATTATATTTACCGATTTTTCTGTATTGAACCATCTATGCATCTCTAGGATAAAGCCTACTTTATCATGGTGGATGATCTTTTTGATGTGTTCTGGGATTCAATTTATAAGTATTTTATTGAGTATTTTTGCATCTATGTTCATAAGGGAAAGATGACCTGTAATTCTCTTTCTTTGTTGGGCCTTTGGGTATCCAGGTGACTCTGTATGTATTTTTAAACCATTCACAATGTTCTAGGCCTTGGGGATAGTGTTGATAATATTGGTAGTAAGCTTTGTGATTTTAATTCTGTTTCAACAAAACTACACACCTGCCTAAAACAAACAAATTGGATGAACTTTAAAAATACTCAAATTAATAGTGCTGTTTTAAGTTTCCTTCACTAAGACAAAATAACGATGGTGTTTAGCTGTAAGAAGGAAGGGTCTATTTCAGGTTTCAAAGTTCTTGGCACATGGATCCTAGCCTCTCCTTGAAGTTGAGGCTATAGTAAGACAGTTTAACATGGCCATGAGTATGTGGAACAGAAAAATGCTTTACTCTTGACTGTTCAAGAAAACCATTTTATACTGAGAACTGGCAGAAAGTCCAGCACATATGTACAAAATGTCTCTTAGGTAACATATAAGGGGGTGTGATGCAGATGTTTGCTTTCCAGTGTGTAAAGTTAGGGAATAACTTTTGTCACTTTTGGTTCTAAGCCATGAAGACCACTTATGTGACTGAACAGTGATTGATAGCTTATTCAAGGCTATACTTCATACCTCTTATTTTTAAACATTCCAGGTCCTGACATAGCCTCTTGACATCCCTTTTACGATTTGGTAGTAAGTGCTTCATCTATAGGTTGAGTTGTCTACAGGTCAAATGTACATTTCTATTTCTAAATGACAAACATTTTCTGCAATAGAAATTAAAATTTACAACCATTTACATCACATTAAACTTTAAAGTCATAGAATTTTGGCTATTCCTTGTGATAAAGCTAGATGGAGGTAGATTGAATAATATCAAATACATTAATAAGATATGTATATGTGAATGTATGTAATAATATATGTAATAATTCTAAGTTCAATTGTTATTACTTTAGTCATCTTGGCTTGAGTGAAGAGTCCCTAAAGCATTCTGTCTTTTAGCAAGTGTGCATTAGCCAATACAGATAATCAAAACCATATGCCCAGCAGTGGATATACTTGGCACATGGAGAGAGCTTCACCTATAGAAATTAGCCTTAGAGAAAATTCTGACTAGTTCAGCAAATGAAACAAAACTGGTCAAACATGCTGCTTTTGTAAGTGGATGGATGGTTTCTTTTCTTTTCAGGCACACTGGTCAGCAATCCCAATGAAAGTTAAGTCTTATTTATAACAGAATGAGAGACATTGAAGCAGCCTGAAAGGCCAAGCCACCAAAGGACCCAGGTGAAGAGCCCAGTGTGAACAGTAAGGATGCCTTCAGGGTGTTCATCTGAGTTAAACTATGCTGTACCTGTGGTGATGTAAGCTTTGCATATGACAAGAAACAGAGCCATAGTATCCAGTCTTTCTATCTACTTATATTATGCATTTCACTTCATAATAAAATTATATTTCTTATGACTTACAGTGATGAATGCTTTAGATGCTTAGGTGAATGCATTTGAAGTATTAATTTGCTGTTTGTGAGATTTACCATATATTCAAAGGCTGGCAGGATCCCCTTGAATAGAAATTAAAATTATCTTCTTCTATAAATCATAAAGCTTATCCTGAATCTTTTAAAGACAGCTTAGCATAGAGGAAATTAAACATGGATAAATGTCCTAGTGGCTAAATTCATTATATACAGAAGTTGTCATCAGGAGTAAATACTTAGATTTCCACCCAGTATAAAAGTGAGAGAATGACTCATACCTCTTTCCAGCACACATTAAATTAAGATCATTTCCTAATTGGTGCTTGACCATTTAAGATCAATTACATAGAACCTGGGCCATGCATACCACACTGTTGTCTCAGTTATCTGTGATCAAATTGTGAAATTACCAGTGTTTTACACAGGTCTTTGAAAAGAACCAGGAAATTTCCAGAGCTTCCTTCCTGTCATCATTCATTCCCCGAATGAACCAAACTGAGCTATCCCATATTCTCGGCCTTTCCCTTCCAGTCAGTGTCTTTGGACAGTCAGAGTTTAACAGCTTCTCTCAAGGCCTTTTCAGAGATTTCAAGAGATGAAAAATTATCCAAGAATTATTTCAAGTGGTGACATCACCTGTGGCACACTGACTGGCATGAAGTCACCAAATAGATTTGACATGATGCTTCGGGATAGAATCATACGTGTATTTTTACGTTGAAAAAAATGAATGGAGCACTTCAAAGACATTTCATTTTGCAATTATTCCATTGCATAGAATTTTGGGGGAAAACTCACTGAGTAATAATAAAATCTATGTCATTGCTTTTAGTAACAAGAAAACAGTTCTTCCAAAAGTCACAGTAAATTGGTTGTGAGTGCTGGCTTACCTCCTAAAAATGATGTTTGCATGGATTCAAATAAATACATATAACCACAGGAAATCAGAGCCGGAACATACCAGGGAGGCATGAAGTTCTGTGACATTTATTTCTTTAGTAAAACTCTTAACACTTTGACCCTCTAACACGAGCATTGGTTTGGTCGATGAAAGCGCAGCACAAGCAGCTTCATGGCTTCATTCTGAAGTCAAACTGATGAGACTTGAGACAAGTCTTTCAAATTCCCAGAAGGACTTGAGCCTTTGTTCTTTTCTTCTTCAAAAGAAAGAAAGTTGCTGTTGCCATCAAGGTTCTGTTTTTTTTCTCTTTCTCCCACAGCAGTTTTGATTGCAGACTCTTTAAGTTTTCACTGCCACAAGAATCTCTGAGTTGGTGACCTAGAAAAGGTAACTAGTTTCTGATAGTTAACATTTACTTAGTTTTATTCAGAAAACAGACTTAGAAAGAATCCTAAGACCGTAGATTTACCTATGACAAGATTTTCATTTTTGGTCAAAATCTTATATATTTAAAATGAAAACTCTGTTAGAAATATATGTTTTCATAAAATATGCACACTTTCCATTTTGGTCTTTTTTTTTGAGACAGAATCCTGCAAAAGTAGCCAAAGCTACCCTCATACTCAATACAGCCCTCCTGTCTCTCAAGACTTCCAAGGATGGAAATTTATATTTAATTGTAATTGGTTATAATTAGACTTTATTTACTTTAGCTTTTATTATGAAATAAAATAGGGCTCATACTGCTATATTAACCAGAAAGTCATTTTTAAATGTTAAAACGAAGTACTTAAAACAGGAAACTCAAAAGGAAAACATCCCCCATCCCTTAACACATACACACTTTAGGAGATTTAAAAACATGTACCATTAATTCTCCTGGCATAGATGGTGGATTTACTATGGGTGGGGTTTCCATGGTGGTAGAATATGTGGAGATAGTTACAGATATGTGGCTTCCCAGTGGGTGGCATCCTGATGGTGGGAGAGTATGAGAAGGAAATCATATGTAATGACACAACCTAGAGACTAGGGAAGGTCCAGCCTTTTACAATAACCCACCCACATGGAAACTAACTGGAGTCTGATGAGAAACAACAACCAATTCCTTTAAAGGGTGTCTCTACTGATGACCTAGCCATTTTGCAGTTGGTCCACTTCTGCAAGATTCATTTACCTTTTATGCTGTAGCATTGAGGTCCAAGCTTCTAGTATATGAGCTTATGGATAGACATCTTCAAACCATACATAAACAATAAAAAAGAGGTGACAGTCACTATTACATGTATTTTATAGACTAAAATAACTGAGATTGAATTATTTAGCCAGAGGTGATACCAATAGCATAAGGAAGGAATTTTGAACCCAATACCATACATATTCAATCCCATCTACTTAACTCTGTTTCTTCCTGCTTTCTAGAAAGAAAACTATCCAATAATAGCATTTGGGATTTTTATGTGCATATTATAAATCCCACATAGAAATTTCTTTCTAGAATATAGCAAGCAAATGTTTGCCCCTTCTAAGGAAATTTTATGCATTCTTTAATAAGATAACTGTGATGACTAGACTCAATCACCAAACATGATATTGAGAATATCTAGAAAACTAATAAAGTACATCTCTAGGTATGGTTGTGAGGGTATCTGAAGAGAAGACAAAGAATGCAAGGAAGATCCCTAACCAAGAAGCTTTTGCTAAGTGACAATTGCTTGCAAAGGAAAAATTAATTTTTCCAACGGAGTCTCACTGGGCATACAAAGTACACTTAACTACACTTTACGGCAGGCCGGGAACCCAACAGTAGATGGCTAACACAAAATAACTCGATTGTATCTTTGTATCCTTTTAAATCTCATGTTGCTTTGTTGGGCATATTTTTTTCCTTACTGGCTTTTGATTTTGTGTTTCTATAGATTTTGTTTTATGTGTGTTTATTTTGCTGTCTCCTTGTTATTTTTTAAATTCTTGTTTGTTTGCCTGAGGCGGGGGAGTAGAGTTAGGTGAGCAACAATGTAGGCGGGATGTGGGAGGAGCAGGGGAAAAGGAAACCATGATCAGAATAAATTTTTAAAAATACTTTCAATAAAAAGAAAGATTCACATTTGGGGGGTCCAGATCAGTCCCATGCTGGCCTCCCCACTGTCGGTCTGGGGTGCAAGAGCACTCCCCTGTTCAGATCAGCTGTCTCTGCTGGTTTTGCCAGCCCATTCTTTGCCAATTTGCTCATCACTCCTCTCTCTCTGTCACTGGGTTCCTTGGGTTCAGTTCAGTGATTAGTTGTGTGTTTGCCTCTGCTTCCATCAGTCACAGGATGAAGGCTCTGGGCAACCTATGGGGCCCTGAGCTGTGGATCAGTGTCTATCCCTGGTATACAAACTGTCTTCATGTGCCTATAGCACAAAGAGAGATGCTCTCTCAGCCTGGACTCTTAGGGGAGTGCCTTGACCCTACCAAGAGTAAAATGACAGACTCTAGATATCCCCTATGTGGAAGGATTTGGCAATAGGGTGGGAAGGAGGGGGAAGGGGAGTGCGGGAAGAGGGGAGGGAGAGGGAACTGGGATTGACATGTAAAACAAGCTATTTAAAATTAAAATAAAAATGATAAAAAAAAGAACACACACAAAAAAAGAAAGATTCAAGGAGATTGGTATGTTATCTGTCAGTATGATGTACAACCTTGGTGCCTCAGTAAAGCAACTTCTGTGTACTGACTTTGAGGAAACCTTTCCCAGAAGATTTCACCTCAGTGCTGCTGGTCTCTTTTTAATCAATGCTGTTTTTCTCAGCCCCAGCTAAGCAGCACAATTTGTCCCAGTAAAGCAAAGGTTTCACCTCAAAGATTCCGGTTTTCTTGTTAATCACAGCTGATTCTTCAGCCCTGGCTGACCAGAATCACAGATTTTTAACTTAAAATATAAAACACCTCCAGAAGATTCTTTAAGTATTTGAGAATCAACTCCCCTCTGGAACTTTACAAGCAGTGTCTCTATCATCTGCGTTCCTCCCAACACACTTATTTCCCACACAACAGCTCCCCAACCTCTGAACATTCTAGCCCAAAGTTCCCTAGTCCTTTCACAGTTCTAAAACAACATCAGGACTGTCACAAAGGTAACCCACAATCCTGGGGACAAGTTCGTCCTAGGCAGGGGTATTATTGCTAGGATGAAATATTGTGACTTAAAGCATTTTGGGGAGAAAAGATTTTATTTGTCTTGTACAGTTACATCACTGTTCATCACTGAAGAAAGTCAGGGTGTGGAATCCAATAGGGCAAGAACCCGGGAGGCAGGATCTGATGCTCAGGCAGTGGAGGGGTGCTACTTACTGGCTTGCTCATCATGGCTTGCTCAGCAGGCTTTCTTACAGAACAGAGAACCACCAGCTTGGGGGTAGCTCCACCCACCTTAGACTGGGCCCTCCTACATCAATCACTAATTAAGAAATGACCTACACAGGTTTGCCTACAGCCTAATCCTGCAGAGGCATTTTCTCAATTGAGGTTCCCTCCTCTCTGATTACCAGTCAGTTTAGCTGCATTGTTTTCCCTTTATGCAGTCCATAGTCAAAGCAGTGCTAGAAAAATTGCTGAGAGTATTGTGCACAGAGAGAGTCCTTGTCCTCATTTCCTGCAGAAACACTGGGGAAAACGGGCCTAATGTATAAGAACTATAACTACATGAAGCTGCTCAGCTTACTTGGGACAGAGAAGCGTGGTCAGAAGAGGACAGTCAGGCTGTTGCTCTTGAACTTCCCTGGTTAAGACTAGGTTTACCAGTCTGCTAAAGGGCTGAAAGGGAACCATGTGTGGTGGGCAGTTTAACCAAAGGGCTGAACTGGAGGCATGACAGAAACTCATGGAGCTGCCAGCCTTGGTATACACAAGGATGAAAGACAGAAGACGGAGCATACATGCACAATACACCCCAGGGCAGTTGCTCAGTGGACAGAGCGCTCCATGATCTCTGCAACTGCAAATGGTAGTCCTATCTACTATGGCATCTGAGATGCGTGACGGCAAATAAGAGGGTACTGACTGAGCAAATGGAGGTTGCTTGCTAGCTCATCCTAAGATCCAGAGAGAAGCCAGAAGCCTCGACACCCAAGCTACAATCCCACTAGGGCTAACCCTCTGTCATGGATCAGGACATGATTTTAGGGTAATGAGCAGAGGAGGGATTCTGCTTCCAACACTATTTCCTCCCGGTCCATTGAGTAGGATACATAAGAAGGATAGCATCATCAAAACGAAGGCGCTGCTCTCAAGTTAAATTTCTCTGCACATCTGAGTTGTGCCAGAATAAAAAGGTTCAGCTCTGCTCTGCGTGGTGTGTGATGTCTGTAGCACAGAGCAGGAAGATGAGCAAAGCTATAGTGTGAATGGTTAGAGAGCCTTAATAGTAAATCTACAATACCGATGTGCAAAGTGTGAAATGTGCAAAGAAAACTGCCGAGGAATCAGGGAACAACAGGGACAATGGAAGAGAGCTGCTTTTTATTCTTTTATTTGGGTGTTATTTTCAGGAAACAGGTGAAATTCTATAGAGACAAATGTTATGGATGGGAAAACAAATAAATGAAGCAACCAAAAAATGTGGTTGGTCTTTGATTTAACCAAGTCACATGATGTAGGAAAGTCCCAAGAAAAGTTAACAGTCGAAGATAGTACAAAGCACAATTTACACTCAGCCTTAAAGCTGGTAGGCAGCGAGAAACATCCTTCCTAAAGAAAATCTTCCAGAAAGGAGAAGAAAGAGTACGTTTGAAAAAAATCACAGAGAAGGGAGATGTGCAATAGGTTTGCCAGGGTGCCACCAGAATAGGTAAGGGCCTAACCAAAATTGCTTTGGCTGAGTGTAGTCAGAGAAGACAGACACTGGAGTACATGCTGCACTGGTCATTTGTAGAAAGTTAAAAAAAATCAAGTAGGAAAGTCTGCATTATACAAAAATCCAGAAAATGATCACTCTTAACAGTGGGGGGGGGTTTAAAGGTTGGCAATATGTGCTTCTTAAACTCTATGTTGGTGGTATTAATGTTTGGGGGACAGAGGCAAAAGACACAGCTCCCCTGTGTCTCTTGAAACAACCTGAAGAGCTTTCCTAATGTTTTCTGGATCTTGACTCAGGCCAAAACAACTTCCATGAATTTCAGAACTAGTTAGTATAAAGCAGAATCAGGCTGTAATGAAGACATTTCAATATAGACTTTAGCACAATGGTTCTCTAATGCTGCCACCCTTTAATATGGTTCCTCATGTTGTAACCCCCCAACCATGAAGTTATTTCATTGCTACTTCCTAACTTTAATTTTGCTACTGTTATAAATCATAATGCAAATATCTAAAATGCAGACCCCGTTAAAGGATCATACAATCCAGTCTTGATCCACAGTAAGGTTATGAAGAAGAATGTGGTCATGGTCTTCTCAAGAAAGAGTCCCTTTTCCTCATTCATATCATTTTAGTGGGGTTTTTTTTTGTTGTTGTTGTTTGAGACATGGTTTCTTTGTGTAGCCCTACATGTCCTGCAACTCATGCTCTAGGCTGGCCTCAAACTCTAAGATTTGCCTGCCTCTGGTATTATAGGTATGTGCCTATCTCAAAATTCTGAAAACTAATTTTCTTTCCAGAGTGACATCAAAGACCCTTTGTAGACCATGCTGCCAGTATGAGGCTCACGCAGCCTTTCTCTTTTCTGAGTGTAGGCTCATAGCAGGTGGAAAAGGAAAGGACAAACCCTGTATTTCAGTTTGCCACTTCTACCCATGGGGAAAAGGATCAAGAAAGATATACCTTTGCTCATTCAGTAAGCAGCTTTGACCATTTTTCCTACTCTGGCCATTGGAACCAGAAGTAGGAACAAAACCAGACATAACATCTACCCATGAGAGACAGAGAAACCTTGCTCACTGTAAAGGACACAAAATTTGACAAATAAACAAGTAACTTATCTCCCAGTTACTTCATGTAATAGAAGGATAGATTTCCTCTTAAGTTCTCAAAATACATGGCAGATGGCAAGATTTGACCAGAACCAAGAGGTTTTAACATAAAAAAGTCAGATTATTCCCCCATGGTATTTTGCATGTAACAGAAATAATCCATCATGTGAAGACATATACTAATATAAGAGAACATTAATTCATAGCTAAACAACTCAGTTAAAGAAATGTAAGGAAAGATGTAAATCATTGTTTTGTGAAACTGTGTAAGTCCTGATAAGCAAACATAATAACCATATCAAGGGAAACTCTACAGTTACTTTAAATATTATCTAGGTTAAAGCATTTTGTCTTTAAAGGATAATTATTGTTTTCAATATTAAATCAATCAATTTGCATTAGATGTTCACACACATATACTTTCATATATGCAAGAGGTGAGTTCACAAACAATAAAAATTGAAATTTTTTTCTGAACAATGATAGTTACTGCATTGAAGATCCCTTTAGTGTAAACATGGACATTTTGAAAGCAATGAGAACCTGCTCGTTTATAACACCTGTAAATCTGGATGTGAAGTTATTTGCCTTGTAATGAAATTTCATATTTGACTTACTTTTGGAGGTTCCATTCTTGTAACTGAAATTAAGTATCACATTCTTCACCATGATTCGAATGTTTTTATTTCTCACTCATATGAGAGCCTGGTGAGTGTGTCCCTAATGACACATACTTGCAGATTCTCAACTGTTGCTTGAGTAAATATGGCATTGGGAAATAATCACTTCTCAAATCATAACATCAGACAATGTTAATATCTATCTTGATATTAATCATTAGCAGCAGAGAAATGCAATAGCAAGTTTTTATTAAAGTCACATTTCACAGGTCTATCTTTTTTTTTTTCAAAACAGATTGGGAAAACTTGAATCCTGAGATTCTGATGGACTTCATTATAGAGAGGCACCCACCATTTCTATATACACGTGTGGACATGCTGCCAAGTCGTATCCTTATATTTTCTGCAGGTCCAGAAGTAAAATGGGGGAGTGACCTAAGACTGTGAACCATGAATTATCTCTGTAGTTGCATGGGAATTTTTACTATCGATGAAGGCATTATCACTGACTGGTGTGCTATACAGGAATGTTAATGGCTGTCACCTCCACTCATTTGTACTGTCAAATCGGTCACATAGAAATTCAAGTAGTCACAAACCTAGATCTTTACAGTTATTTTTTCTTTATAATTATTTTTTTTTCTTTCTGCTAGCCTTCATTGTCTTGTTACCTGAAACTGTGCTGAGCAGGGCGTTGTGACGGCACATATTTAACATGCTACTGAAACAAGAAGTGAATTTGTTTTAAACTTTCTGATACTTTGGGGCTTTAAGTAAAAGACAAATCTAGAATTGTCTATCTAGACATATCCTAGTATGGAAAGATCTCCCACAGAACATAAGTTATTTTCTTTCCCTATAACTGAAATAGTTTGACATCTGATGTCCAGAGAATTTTCCAAATTAAACATTAGGAACATTATTTTAAAATGACTTAATGTTTGGACTGGAGTTTACCCAAAGGAGACACATTACTAACAGAATACACAATGTTGCAACATCTTATTCATTAGGAAAGTTCAAATTTCATTCCGTGATATATTCAACCAAAAGAAATAAAATCATGTGTCTCTAAAAGGACATATCTCTACAGATGTTCCTAACAGTATTACAAAAATGTTCACTAATAGTTGAAGATTACAACTGCATTTTTCTTTACAGTTTAACAAAATACCTTTATGTTTATATACCACATTTTTGTTATCCATTATTCAGTTGATGGACATCCAACTTGAGTCTGTTTTCCTAACTATTGTGAAAATGAGGTGATGAACATGGCTGATCATGTATCTCTGTAGAAGTTTAGAGGCGTCTTTGGGAATATGCCCAGGATTGATATAGCAGGGTTATCTGGTAGATCAGTTTCTATCTCTTGAGATATCTCCACACTGATTTCAAGTGGTTAGCCCCCCAACAACTGTGAATAAGTGTTTCTTTTCTCTCACATCCTCACTATTATTTGTTGTCATTGTATTTCCTGATGAGTTACTATGTTTCAGATACTTCACATGCAATAAGCACATAAAGTACTAAACTTCATAAATTTCAGTGTCAATGAGATAGTTGCCATAATTACAGTAACAAGTCTATTTATTTCTTCCAAAACCCTCAGGGTATCTTTGTGGGATTTTTTTTGGATCCCACTTAGTATGCCTTCCACCTGTCTGAAATTACCCATCACTCCATTTCACAGCATCATCATTCTAAATATATATGAATTGAAGGGTACAGCATATGTCAGTTTTCCTCAGACTTCTTTCATGTGACATACTTTTTCATTTATCAGTAAGTTTCAGTTTTGATAGCTCCTCCATATAATTGCTGAGTGACATTTCATTATTTACACACACTCTAATTTGTTGTAAGAATTTATAA